TGTGTGTTTGTATGAGTGTGTGCGTATATAATGCAGAGTGTGTGTTTGTATGAGTGTGGGTGTGTATAATGCAGATTGTTTGTATGAGTGTGTGTGTATAATGCAGAGTGTGTGTTTGTATGAGTGTGTGTGTATATAATGCAGAGTGTGTTTTTGTATGAGTGTGTCTGTATAATGCAGATTGTATGAGTGTGTGTGTATAATGCAGAGTGTGTGTATGAGTGTGTGTGTGTATGAATGTGTGTATGAATGTGTGTGTGTATAATGCAGAGTGTGTGTATGAGTGTGTGTGTGTGTGTGTGTGTATAATGCAGAGTGTATGTTTGTATGAGTGTGTGTGTATATAATGCAGAGTGTGTTTTTGTATGAGTGTGTTTGCATAATGCAGATTGTTTGTATGAGTGTGTGTGTGTATAATGCAGAGTGTGTGTATGACTGTGTGTGTGTATAATGCAGAGTGTGTGTATGAATGTGTGTGTGTGTATAATGCAGAGTATGTGTATGAGTGTGTGTGTGTATAATGCAGAGTGTGTGTATGAGTGTGTGTGTATATAATGCAGAGTGTGTGTTTGTATGAGTGTGTGTGTATATAATTATAAAAATCACAGAATTTCATAGCCCCAAGTTTTACCTTCGACTTATCCACGAGGCATAGCATATTTCACAATTGTTGGTTACAAAACTGCACTCGACTTATACATGAGATCGACTTATACACGAGTATATACGGTAATATTTCCCCCATCATGACATACCATTTGCAAAAGTAGACAGCCCAGGGTATTCAAAATGGGGTATGTACAGTCTTTTTTAGAAGCCTGGCCAAAGTTAGCGTTCATATTCTTTTTTTTTTGCATAGTTCACAAAAAACTGCCCTTTCACCAACGATATAATTGGCATAATACATTTTACTGCTCTAAGCCACTCATATGTGTTCAGTAACGTCTTACGAGTGCAACAGTACATTCCATGTACAGGTTTTAGGGTGTTTTGGAAAGTTACAGGATCAAATTTAAGGCTTGCCCATTTTACTTTATACACATTGAAATTTGACAAATTGGTTATGTCGTCTTTGAGACCGTATGGCAGCCTAGGAATGAGAATTACCCCAATCACGGCATACCATTTGCAAAAGTAGACAACCTGAGGTGTTCATTATGGGATATGTCTAGTCTTTTTTTATTACTCACATCCGGTCATGTGATTGTGACATCATCATAATCACATGCAATGGGAGTCAGGGGGACTGCCTGGGTTGTTGGGCATCCACACCTTTTGAGATCACCACAGATCATTCTGGAAGGTAAGTGTATAAAGCCAGGGGTCTCACGATTGTTAGGGTGTATGATGCTGCCATAATGGCAGGGCAGCATGGGACACTCTAATGGCGTTAACACGTTAAATGAAGAAATGTACACCTCTTTATCCTGCATCATGTGCTGCTCCTTGTCAATCATTCTTATAATTATCCTTTATGTCCTTTGTACATTTCAGTCAGGTTTACATTGTAATCTTAACTGGTTTACAATGTATACATTTAAAAGAAAATGGAGATTTTCAATGCTTTGGTCAGTGGCATAATATTTAAATTCCATATTCCTTCAGTGCCAAGGGCTCCTTCATTGTTTCCACTTCAAAATTAAAGCCACGGACAATGTTAAAATTAAAAATGATTCTGTGTGCATATGGGTTCAATTTAGGAGTGAAGGAGAAATCCTAAAAGGGCCATTGGTGCTATGTAAATCAGGAGTTAAATTTATAGAGTTGAGTCACTAAATATTGCTGTTTGGACTGCCCCGTACAGAAATTTTCCACAGCTAGAGGAGATGGCAAAGTCAAAAGGGAGCCATATGCATATAATGAGATGAGCTTTTGTGTTGTGAATTTCTCTTTAACAATCAGAAAGATAAATGCATTACATTTTGCCAGTCAACTTTTTCAATGATGAATAGTTCTTCAGTCAAACGAGATGCATGAGGTATATAAATAATGCTGGCTTTAAACTAGCTTTTTATGTATGAGATTATTATATATATATATATATATATATATATATATATATTGTGACAAAAGTACTCCTTTCCCTTGGTACCTTGTCCTGGGATCGGGGTGTTACACAGTCTTTTCAGGCTTTAGAGACACTTCACACGCTGGATGAGGTAAACTGACTTGCTCTTTTATTGAGGTTCCAAAATAAATGCACAGTAAGGTATAAAGGTAACAAAAATATATCAAACAAAAGCCTTGCTCTTCTGAGCACTAACTAAACAAAATAATCAGCTAACTGGGTTGGATGGCTTGTCCATTTCCCAACATAAACATAAACATAAACAGCCTTACTGCTTCAGGGTTTTCAGCTCTCTGTTTCCACCCACAAACACAATCTCCCTTCTTCCTTGGCAGGGGAGTACTTAATAGCACTGGTAATTGACAATCCTTTTCAGGTGAGTTAGATTAGGATTCAAACTCCAGAACTGGACTTCTCACCAAGCAACTTCCAAAATGTGGAGTGGAGCACTGGCCCACCCTACTCTCCAGGTACTCCACCACAGGGCCCAAATATACACATATTTAAAGTGCAACATTCATTAGAACATAACACATTTCCCTGGGGCTAATTACACAAAGTAAGAACCTTGCAAAATCTGGGGAGGTATATAGGTTCCTTCCAGCACAATTCCTTGCTTTCTGTCACACATCCTCCCCCCCAGCTCAGACCTATAGGGTCGAGCGACCATGGACATTAGAGAGTGCATCCGCGAAAGACCATCTGCATTTCCCTGTTTACTCCCAGCCCTATGCTCAATGGAGAAATTATAGGGTTGCAAGCTAAGGAACCAGCGGGTTACTCTACTATTTTTCTCCCTGTTTTGGCTCATCCAAGTAAGGGGTGCATGGTCTGTCACTAGTCTGAATTTTCGTCCCAAGAGATAGTACTTAAGTGTGTCTACCGCCCACTTTATAGCCAGACACTCCTTCTCAACAATGGAATAATTTCTTTCCTGGGGATTAAGCTTCCTGCTTAAATATAATATGGGGTGCTCCTCACCCTGAATTTCTTGAGAGAGAACAGCACCTAGTCCTACATCAGATGCATCCGTCTGTAAAATAAATTCTTTAGAAAAATCAGGTGTTACCAACACTGGTTGGGCACAAATGGCTTCTTTAAGCTTTCTGAATGCTTGTTCCGTCTCTGGGGACCATTTTACCACTACTGGAGCATTAGCTTTAGTAAGGTCAGTTAATGGGCTTCCAATTGTAGCAAAATTGGATATAAATCTCCTGTAATAGCCAATGAGGCCAAGAAATGTTCTCACCTGTTTCTTAGTCAGTGGTCTCGGCCAATTTCGTATGGCTTCAATTTTAGCAACTTGGGGTTTCACTAGTCCCCTACCAATAGAGTAGCCCAAATATTTTGCTTCCTCTAGGCCAATCGTACACTTACTAGGGTTAGCAGTTAAGCCAGCATTTTGTATTGAGTTAAGGACAGCCTGTACTTTTGGAAGGTGAGATTCCCAATCCTCACTGTGTACTACAACATCATCCAAGTATGCAGCTGCATAGCGCACATGCGGCTTTAGTATTCTGTCCATCATTCTTTGGAATGTGGCAGGGGCACCATGCAAGCCGAAAGGCAAAACTCTGTACTGAAATAGGCCGTCAGGAGTAGAAAATGCTGTCTTTTCTTTTGCTCGCTCTGTGAGTGGTACTTGCCAATAACCTTTGGTTAAATCTAGTGTAGTGAGGTACCGAGCTCTCCCAAGTCGTTCTACTAGCTCATCAACTCTAGGCATGGGGTATGCATCAAACTTAGAAATAGCATTCAGTTTGCGATAATCATTACAAAACCGTACTGTATTATCAGGCTTTGGTACCAGCACAATTGGACTGCTCCAGTCACTTTGTGACTCCTCAATGACTCCAAGATCTAACATTTTCTTAACCTCTGCTCTGATAGCTTTTCTACGAGCCTCGGGTATTCTGTATGGTTTGAGATTGACCCTTTTTCCTGGTTCTGTTAAAATGTCATGTTTAATCACGCTAGTCCTTCCTGGGACTGGGGAGAATACCTCTTTATTTAATCTAATAAACTCCTTAACTTCCCTTGTCTGGTGTATTGACAGGGTCTCTGAGATATTTACTTCGGGGTCAATATTACACTTATCAGGGAAGGTTGAAGCCTCTGTAGTAACCAGAATTTCCCTTTCTTTCCATGGTTTTAGCAAATTGACATGGTATATTTGCACTTCCTTTCTTCTACCTGGTTGCCTTACTTTATAATTTACCTCTCCCACTCTTTCAATAATCTCATATGGCCCATGCCAAGTTGCCAGGAATTTGTTCTCTACTGTGGGAACCAAGACTAGTACTCTGTCTCCTGGTTGAAATACTCGAATTCTAGCATCCTTATTATAGCTATTCTGCTGATTTTGTTGAGCCTTTTGCATGTGTTCTCTGACTATTGGCATAATGGCTTCAATACGTTCCTGCATCTGAGTTATGTGTTCTATTACACTGCGATGTGGGTTTGCTTCTTGTTCCCAAGTTTCCTTTGCTATGTCAAGTAATCCCCTGGGGTGTCTGCCATATAATAATTCAAAAGGTGAGAAACCCGTGGAAGCTTGGGGTACTTCTCTAATGGCAAACATTAAATAGGGCAATAGAAAGTCCCAGTTTTTCCCATCTTTATCAATTACTTTGCGCAGCATAGCCTTTAAGGTTTTATTAAATCGCTCAACCAAACCATCGGTTTGTGGGTGATAAACAGAGGTTTTGAGGTGTCTAATGTGAAGGAGCTTGCAGAGTTCCTTTGTAACCTTGGACATGAATGGAGTACCCTGATCTGATAGGATCTCCTTGGGAATCCCAACCCGGCTAAACATCATCATTAACTCTTTAGCAATGGACTTTGCTGAGGTTGTGCGCATAGGTATTGCCTCAGGGTAACGGGTAGCATAGTCTAGTACTACTAATATATACTGATGCCCCCTACTGGATTTCACCAGAGGACCCACAAAATCCATAGCAATACGTTCAAAAGGCACTTCAATAATAGGCAAGGGTACTAAAGGGCTACGGTAAGCCGTAAAGGGCGCAGTGACCTGACATTCAGGGCATGACGAACAGTAGTTTTTGACAGCTGCAATTACTCCAGGCCAGTAAAATCTCCTCAAAACACGCTCTCTTGTTTTGTCAACCCCTAGGTGACCCCCCAAAACATGGCTATGTTCAAGGTTTAACACAGTGCGCCAATAGGCTTGTGGTACTAACAGCTGCTTTGTAATAACGGACTCTTTTTTCTCAACTCTGTACAACAGATCATTATCCACTTCAAAATAAGGGTAAGTAAGAGAATTCCCTGGATTGACAGGGGATCCATTCCTTATAGAAATATTATTCCTGGCTACCAATAATGTTGGGTCAGACCACTGTGCACTTCTGAAGTTACCAGGCCTAACCTCTAAATCAACTAACTCTATATCTGGTTCAGAGCTTCTAGAAGGTCCCGCATTAGTTTGTTCTGGGTTTTCACCAACTAATGTTTTTATAGGGGAGTGCTGCATACTGTTAGGCTCATCATCATGATCTCTCTCATCTGCCAGAGTATCTGCAAAAGGAAATTCATCATTCTGTTCACCTGATGGGTTTTCAAAACATGCCCATAGGTCTAGAAAATGGGGAAAATCCCTTCCAATAATCATCTCATGTGCCAGTTTTGGTACCAGCCCCACTCTGCAGTTTACAGTACCACACTGGGTTTTAACAAGTATATCTGCAGTAGGGTAGTTATGTATATCCCCGTGTACACAAGCAATATCAACTTTTCCAGAGTAAACAATATGAGTATCCTGTAATAAGGATTGGTCTAGAAGGGTAACCATACTCCCTGAATCTAGCAATGCCTGTATAGTTTTCCCTCCACATTCACGGTACACCCAGGGTGACTATTCAAATAACCATTTTTTTCCACAGAACATACAACCTGCGAATAGAGTGCAATTCCTTCCCAATTATTACCAAAATTACACTCCATTGGTTCAACATTTTCACGACAGTCTTTTGCAATATGTCCAAAGTTTCTGCATTTAAAGCATTTTATACCATAATTAGTACTTTTTGATTCATTTGTAGGCTCTTCCCACCTCCCAAAGTCTTTCTCTCTTTTAACATTGTCTCTTTGGTAATAAGACCCTGTTCTCTCATCAAAAGACCCCCTTTTCCCTGGAACAGTCTTACTAGATTTGCTGGGGTTGTAGGTTTTCGGATTCTTGGGTCTCTCTTGGCCAGTAGGTTGAAGCAGTTCTCCCGCTGCTATATACCGTTCAACCAATTCAACCAATTGGTCAGCTGTTTGGGGATTGCTCTGGCTGACCCACCGACGAAGCCCAATAGGTAAGCCTCTTAGGAATCTTTCCATCACCAGTTGCTCCACAATGCGGCTGGGTGAGTTGATCTCTGGCTGCAACCATTTTCTGGCAAGGTGTATCAAGTCAAACATCTGGGAACGAATCGCTTTATCCAGGCTGTAAGTCCATGAATGAAATCTCTGGGCACGGACGGCTGTTGTCACCCCCAGGCGTGCCAGTATTTCTGCTTTCAGCTTTTTGTAGTCACTGGCTTCCGCTGGTTCCAGATCATAGTATGCTTTCTGGGATTCACCAGTAAGAAACGGTGCTAGCAGACTTGCCCATTCCGCTTCAGGCCAACCTTCTCGCTCAGCGGTTCGCTCAAATGCCATCAGATAGGCCTCTACATCATCTGTGGATACCATCTTTTGCAAGTAGTGACTCACTCTGATCACCTTTGGACATTGTGGTAAGTCTGTGGCATCCCTGGCCAGCCTTTGTGATAGACTCTGGATCTCCTGCTGTATGACACATGTGGCACGCTGCTGCTCCTCTCTGAGCACTTGATGCGCTGCTGCCTGTGTTGCTTCAACTTGCTTGAATAAAGCATCTGTATTTTCCTTTTGAGCCAGTACAAGCTGCTGCAGTATTGAAATGCTCAACTTGCTTGATTGCATTAGTCTCTGCAGTCCTCCTTTTTGTCTCTTGCTGTACAGCAGTGGACTGGAGCAAAGCTTTCATGACATCCTCCATTTTCTCAGCAGTCTCTTTCTCCCTACTTACAGACTTTTCCGTGTGCTGCCCGCATTCTCCACCATATGTGACAAAAGTACTCCTCTCCCTTGGTACCTTGTCCTGGGATCGGGGTGTTACACACAGTCTTTTCAGGCTTTAGAGACACTTCACACGCTGGATGAGGTAAACTGACTTGCTCTTTTATTGAGGTTCCAAAATAAATGCACAGTAAGGTATAAAGGTAACAAAAATATATCAAACAAAAGCCTTGCTCTTCTGAGCACTAACTAAACAAAATAATCAGCTAACTGGGTTGGATGGCTTGTCCATTTCCCAACATAAACATAAACATAAACAGCCTTACTGCTTCAGGGTTTTCAGCTCTCTGTTTCCACTCACAGAAACCAAACACAATCTCCCTTCTTCCTTGGCAGGGGAGTACTTAATAGCACTGGTAATTGACAATCCTTTTCAGGTGAGTTAGATTAGGATTCAAACTCCAGAACTGGACTTCTCACCAAGCAACTTCCAAAATGTGGAGTGGAGCACTGGCCCACCCTACTCTCCAGGTGCTCCACCCCAGGGCCCAAATATACACATATTTAAAGTGCAACATTCATTAGAACATAACACATTTCCCTGGGGCTAATTACACAAAGTAAGAACCTTGCAAAATCTGGGGAGGTATATAGGTTCCTTCCAGCACAATTCCTTGCTTTCTGTCACAATATATAAATAAATATCCTAGTGAGTTGGATCAGTAAGTCAACATTACTAGCATATATATATTTGGGATTCACCTAATTAGGATATACAGCAAGGACATTGAAATGTTGTTCAGACAAGATAAGTGTGGCAGTTACAAGTACCTGGGGCTGGGGTTGCCACAAACACATGGCATCAAGGAGGATAGCAGCATCCAAGTGCCTCCAGAAAGTCAGACAGGTCTTGAAGTCCCAGCTCAATGGAAAGAACAAGATCCAAGCCATTGTCACGGCCCTCGGCTCGCCGCCATGTGCGTCCGTGCCCGACCTGCACGACCACACCAACTCACTGAGCTTACCTGCTCAGCGGCGAGCCGGGAACCGCTCCTCCACGCCGCTCGGGGAAATCCAAGATGGCGCCGACCATGAGGTCGCGTCCTTCCATGGCTCCACCCCCCACAATTATACGAACGTGCGCGTGACATCACGACATCAACGCACATGCACGTTCTGGGGTCAGAGATCACACTCTGACCAATCAGAGCCTAGAGAGGGATATTTAAATCCCTAATTCACCCCAGTACCTTGCCCTGTCGTGGTTTCCTGTTCCTGGTTCCCTAGAGTGCATTTATCTTTGTGAATATTACTTCCTGGTATCCTGATCTTGACTTTTCCCTGGTTATTCCAAATTCTGGTTCCCCTGACTTGGCTTGTTTAAACAGTATCTGAGTATTTCTGGCTTCCTTGACCTCGGCTTTCCCTTTGACCATTCTCAATCTCTAGCGTATTAGTCCGGCCATTCTAAGGTCCGGTTTATGCTCTGTCCTTTTGTTTCCTTTCCTTTTTTATGTATATGTTTACATAGTTTCTGCATGTTGGACCACACTAGCAGCCGTGACAGCCATCAACACATATGCCCTACCAGTCATCAGGTACCCAGCTGGAGTTTGGAAGTGGTTATTTATTCTTGGAAATTAGCCCATGAACCATGATGGCAAATAGGACAAACTCATTTTTGTGAACTGGACATCAATTTACACTTACTAAATCCAATCCTGCATTAGATCGTTGTGCAACCAGCGTGTATTTAATGGATAATTAACTTTTATATTTATTATTAAACAAGTATTTCATATAGATGAAATATACCCATTACCTTGCAGTGTAATATTTTTGAACTTTCCCTTTTGATCTTTATCTTGTGATCGGCATCAAGTCTCAAAATATGTTCAATTTAAATCACCCTTAATAAATTATATAATGAAATCTTATCAGTTATTCTGTAAAAGCCCTTTCCCATTTGGATTTGATAATTGATTTCATTAATAGTTTCTAACCAAAGTGTAATTACTGGTATTTTCCAGTTTCTAGTGACTACTAATTTTGCAGCCATAAAGATGTGACTTAATAATATTTTTTGTAGAGGGCTGCACCTAGGTAAATCCAAATGGAAAAGGAACAGACCCAGGGATAGCAGTTCACCATGATCAAAAATCTTTCAAAGAATGTTGGAAATCCCATTCTTAATCTCCTGTAATATTTCACATTCCCACCAAATATGATAGATTGTAACACTACCCTTAAGACATCTCCTGTATGAAGAGTAAAAATTCCTATCGAATTTATGGATCTTATTTGGGGTAAGATACTATTTATGAATAATTTTAAAATAATTTTCTTGAAGATTTAAATTATGAACATATCTTTTTTTAACTGTAGATAGGCCTCTTCCCAGATGTTTAATGAAATAACTTTATCCGTATCAATTTCCCATTTCTCAATGGAAGGTGGTTTTTGAATTATCATAAAATCAAGTCCTAATTACGTGAATTTAGAAATTAGTTTATTTTTATGTTGCATATTTTAAAACATTTCGAAATTGGATTTTCTTCAATCCCTATACAATTAATAAATGTTGATCAGAATATAATTATATGCTTCAGAATCAGGGATTTCGTAAACAATTGTCAAGTTGTCAAAAGATAGAAAAGTGTTAAAATGTATGTTTGAATCAAGTGGGGTGTTAGCATCAGAGCAAACCTTAGGTTCCAATCTTCATTTATGCTTTCTTCTCTAAAAAAAATTATTGGTCCCATCATCATGTAGATTTTTACTTATTGTATTTGAATTATTTTTAATTTGAATGGATATTAATTTTTTTTAGTATTGTTATTTTAAACTGTAAATTTACATTGACTTTAAGATAAACCTTAATTCATTTACTTCATAAGAACTTCAACTTTTATTTTATTGGGTCCATAACTGCTTAACAGTGATATTTTTTCCCAATTTAGGCAATGTAGAGTTCCTTTAAGTATTTAGCAATCTACAATTCCTTTAATTTATTCATAAAATATCTGCTAACAGAAACTTAGTAATAGTAGGCTTTCACCTTTTCTTCAGGGACATCACATGAAGCCCGCGGTGAGGATAACCAAAAGTATTTAT